GCGTTGTGTATAACTGTTGTAGAATTATTAGGCCTCTATAAATCTGTAAGGCCCCTTTAAATCCCCTTGCTATACCTCTAAGAGGCCCCCATAGTTTTACAAGAAAGCTTTGTCTATAGAACATAGAATTTGCATGTCAGCAAGAAATAGCTTTGATAAAATGTGTATTTACTAAAAGCCTTGAAACCTAACCTTGAGAAGCTAACAATACTAACTACTCAAAATGGCTGCCAAAGCACCCCTCCCATCGAGTGAACACCTCGTGCTAACAAGATGGCGCCTACATCTTGTGTCCACTCCCGTGTCAAGGATGACATCACCTCTTGATGGGAGGGTATCTAACTAACCACTTAACACCTGGACCAATCAATAGTGTCTATTTGCTGTTATCTTGAATTCTTCAGTGATGTAATAATGCCTTTAAAAGGGTCTGCGCACCCATTTTCTGTCAGAAGCCATTAAACTTCTCTGAAGTTCTTTCATTACCCTGAACTTTGTGTCTCAGTGTGAATTTACTTCTGCGTGCACGCAACTTTATTATCTTTAATTTGGACAGGAACAGATAGTCATTCAAACTAATTGGTTTGCAGTAAATTATCTACTACATAAGTAGTGAATGTAATATCCCTGTGTCACCTCTTCCAAGAACTAACATATCTTTATCCCCTTGTCCAGATAAATATATGACTAGCACTACTAAGGTATTCTACCCGATATTACAAATAAACAGCCAACACCATAGTTCTTACCAGAGAGAAATCTTATAATCTGCCCAGTTGAATATGACAGAAGAAAAATATTAGAGTTATAGTATTACAGAGTTACAATACATTCATAACTCATACATTCCATCTATTTAATAATATCTGCTACATTGTGTATGCGCTGTGAGATGTGTGCAGCGTGTGTCTTACCAACCTAGTCTAATGTGATGTCAGTAACTTCTATTTTTAAAGGAATTTGTTCCCATGTTGTAAATAGCCAATTCCTCATCTCAATTGATATGTAAATGAGATTTCCTTTCCCAAGGCCCAAAGTGTTGTCGATCCTGTTATTTTACGTGTTAACTCTCCCAGCCATCCCCTTGCCTTTAACCTACGGTGTTTTTTTCCTAGATAGAGACTCCTTTGAAGACAGGTTGATATGTAAATGTGATAAACTTTCCTAAGGATGTAGCGGTGCCTTTCATGTGCTGTATCTTTCCAACTATCTAAACAGAAATTCCCTTTGAAGATAACTCCCGATCTCCCATACACACAGACTTAATCAAGCATATATGAATCAGATCTCTCTCTATATCTATATAAAAATAAATCATAATATTTTACCCAACAATGACCACTTCTGGCAGGCTCAGGTTATAAGTGCCTAAGATTGGCTGAGCAGCTGGCCTATAGAATATCTGGATACATTTTGCACTGAAGGACTGCCTTGAGTTGATACTTTTTTTACAGTTTTGTCTGGCAGTATGTAAAGGCCTATTTAATTGGCTACTTTCCCACTCCCTTCTAAAGTGATATTGTGTTGCCAGTTCCCACCTGTCAGAGAAGCATGATTATTCATGAGCCCAAGAGACTAAGCAAAAAGCAATGCAATTCCACATACGAATGCCTATAGTGCGTGTTCGGTAGTTTACGAATGGTGCCAATACATTTTTGTGCGATTGATAGCGTTCGGGCATTTGATGGTTCGGGAGTTATAGGTGTAAATTCAGAGAAATAGAACATTGTTCAATGCCATGTTGTGAGATCAATAGATGAAATTTGAAACAAATGGTTTTACATTGTTCACTTAAGGCTATTTGGTATTTAGGGATTAGGGAACTGATTTTTATGTTATTTTCAATTCATTTGGTTCAATTAAATCGTGCTGAATGAAAGGGTTTATCCAAAACAAAAAAACAAAAACAAAAAAAACCTAACGAATTTCATACGAAAACGAATGGACGAATTTTGGTTCTGCCGAAACAATTTTTTGCGTACGAATCCATTCCTACAAAATGAAAATTTCTCAAGTGCCCAAGTCTCTCTATCTATATATAGTTTGTATATCATATTTTGTAATATTGTATCAATGCAATGTTGTGGAACCAGGACATACTTGAAAACTAGAGAAATCTCAATGCATCCTGGTAAAATATTTTATAAATACATTTTAGATTTCCATACTTCACCGTGTTAAAGCCACTTCTATAGGATGTAGTAGAGTTTATATAATGTCCATGACCATAGTTCTTAAGTCAACTAATGAATATCATGTATTGACTTTAGAGAAGTGGAATTTTCCTTTTATGCATTTATGATGTTTGAGGGTATTTAAATCCAAATCAGGTTAACAGTGTAGGAATTACAACAGTTTGTATATGTGCCTCCCACTTTTTAAGGGACCAAAAATAATCGGACAGATTAACAGTCATAAATCAAACTTTCACTTTTTAATACATGTTTGCAAATCCTTTGCAGTCAATTACAGCCTGAAGTCTGGAACGCATAGACATCACCAGACGCTGGGTTTCATCCCTGGTGATTCTCTACCAGGCCTCTATTGCAACTGTCTTCAGTTCCTGCTTGTTCTTGGGGCATTTTCCCTTCAGTTTTGTCTTCATCAAGTGAAATGCATGCTCAATCGGATTCAGGTCAGGTGATTGACTTGGCCATTGCATTCCATTCCACTTCTTTCCCTTAAACTCTTTGGTTGCTTTTGCAGTATGCTTCGGGTCATTGTCCATCTGCACTGTGAAGCGCCGTCCAATGAGTTCTGAAGCATTTGGCTGAATATGAGCAGATAATATTGCCCAAAACACTCCAGAATTAATCCTGCTGCTTCTGTCAGCAGTCACATCATCAATAAATACAAGAGAACCAGTTCCATTGGCAGCCATACATGCCCACGCCATGACACTAACACTACCATGCTTCACTGATGAGGTAGTATGCTTTGGATCATGAGCAGTTCCTTTCCTTCTCCATACTCTTCTCTTCCCATCACTCTGGTACAAGTTGATCTTGGTCTCATCTGTCCATAGGATGTTGTTCCAGAACTGTGAAGGCTTTTTTAGATGTTGTTTGGCAAACTCTAATCTAGCCTTCCTGTTTTTGAGGCTCACCAATGGTTTACATCTTGTGGGCAACCCTCTGTATTCACTCTGGTGAAGTCTTCTCTTGATTGTTGACTTTGACACACATACACCTACCTCCTGGAGAGTGTTCTTGATCTGACCAACTGTTGAAGGGTTTTTTCTTCACCAGGGAGAGAGTTCTTCGGTCATCCACCACAGTTGTTTTCCGTGGTCTTCCAGGGTCTTTTGGTGTTGCTGAGCTCACCGGTGTGTTCTGTTTAAGGATGTTCCAGACAGTTGATTTGGCCACACCTAATGTTTTTGCTATCTCTCCGATGGGTTTGTTTTGTTTTTTCAGCCCAATGATGGCTTGCTTCACTGACAGTGACAGCTCTTTGGATCTCATATTGAGAGTTGACAGCAACAGATTCCAAATACAAATAGCACACTTGAAATGAACTCTGGACCTTTTATCTGCTCCTTGTAAATGGGATAATGAGGGAATAACACACACCTGGCCATGAAACAGCTGAGCAGCCAATTGTCCCATTACTTTTGCTCCCTTGAAAAGTGGGAGGCACATATACAAACTGTTCTAATTCCTACACCGTTCACCTGATTTGGATGTAAATACCTTCAAATAAAAGCTGAAAGTCTGCAGTTAAAGCACATCTTGTTCATTTAATTTCAAATCCATTGTGGTTGTGTATAGAGCCAAAAAGATTAGAATTGTGTTGATGTCCCAATATTTATGGACTTGACTCTATAGGGTCGCAGAGCAGACCACGGGTAGAGGATCTTCTGTATCCTCTATCAGGTCTGATAGAAAGTGCTCACTGGAAGCAGTTCAATGTCAGAAAAGGTAGTGGATACAGAAGATCATGTACCTGTGGTCTGTTCTGCCATGCTACATGCAAAATGAAAATAGCTTTTGTCTCAAAAGAGGCACTCCCTCCCACCTCCTCTGTTTCTTTCAATTTTATTATAAAAAATCCTAAACCGGAGGGGGCTGAGCCTACGAGCAAACCAACAGGACGCCATTTCTGCCAGCTCCAAATCATATCTGATCAATCCCACAAATATCAGACAACCAGAGCCCGATCCGAACCCCTCACCAGCCGCTCCAGTAAACCAGCCAGTACTGATTGATGCCTTTCTTCGCCACCCAGAGACTCCCCCAAAGGAAACATGTCTCGGGCCTACCACATGCCATCGATCCCGGACCTGGGGGAGCTGCTGGAAAGCATAACGGCAAGAGGAGCCGAACAGGCACATACCTCAATCCCGATGGCACACGCGCAGGCAACGGGCAGACGATCACAAAAACCGCAAGCTGCAACGGAGACCAGGGACATTGGAGAGCTGCTCCAGAGGTCTACTCCTCACAGACCCGCGTCCGTGGAAGTACCGCAAGTGGCGACACCTGAACACCACCCGACCCAGGAACAACAAGGCGAGGAGACCCCACTAACCTCGGTGCAAGCCCCTATGATGACTCTGCCCCGACAACCAAAGGGGACCTTAAAATATTATTAGCAGACATCCACAAACTGCTGGCCGCTGATTCCGCTCTTAAAAACGGAGGTACACGCGGTCACAGATGGGGTGAAAGCCACAGAAAGACGTGATGGCAGTGCAGAGCCAACTAGCTAAACTTGATGAATCAATAATCCAAATGCAAACCACTCAGCAAACCACTCAGCAAACCCTCACACACAAATTAGCAGCGGTGGAAGACCATATTAAAATAAGGGACAATCACGGCAGAGAAACTCTCACATTATATCCGCAGACTCTTACTTACAATCCTGCCTCACACAGCGGCAAACAAAATCACCATAGATGGAGTCTACCGTCTCGCCAGCACCACCCCGCTCAAACCTACTCAGCCCCGGGATGTGATCCTCAGATGCCTTACAATCCAAGATAAGAGCCAAATCATGTTGGCCCTAGGAGGTAAAATGCTCACATTCTACCATGACCTCACAAAGGCAACACTTCTGCAACGCAAAGCTTTTGGCACTGTCACAACTCCGAGCAGCAAACCTGGCCTACAAATGGGGAGCAAACTGTACAATCATACTCACCTGAGATGGGACTACTCATACACTAACAGCAATGAATGAGGCACCAACATTCCTACATAACCTGGGATCTCTACTCTAAACCCTGAGACAACTGGAACTGCAACAACAGGACTTTGGGACCCAGCCACGGTGGTCCCCTTCGTCCCAAGGGAATCCAGACTGCAGAATGCGGCCCCATGACTCTCAGGACAGAGACACACTGCAGCACGAAAGATGGATCAACAGGAGAGTCGGCAGCAACTGACGAACTAACTAAGAACTCACTAACCTCTGGGTCGATCTCTGCATTTAAATTAATTTACCTTTTTTAGGCTGAACAGGCAAAAGATAATTGCATTTTTCTATCTTGTTATACTTCTTATATAATTTGGTTATGCTTTGTTGCTCTTAAAGTTTGTTAGTTATATTACACACTCACCTTATCCACAGCGCTCAGTGATAGACACGACACCAACACCACAATAAGCTAGCGCAGCTACTCATACTTCCACCGCAACCAGCTGGCGTCCTCCAGCCCAACACTCCCACCCCTGCGGCCCCCTTGGTTAGGGGCATCTACCCCAGATGTCAGGGGCCTACTCACAAAGCGGCCTCGGAACAAGCTTTGGCACAACTCTGTCAACCATGAACCACACTCAGACACACAACACAAGGCACCTGTACATCTCGCCCATAAACTCTATGGACTCACGACCACATCACAATAACATGTCGACTAACAACTAGCCACACTAGGAACTTAACCTGCACTAGAGAGACATGTATACGTCGACACACATAGGACAGATCAGGTCTAGAAACTATACAAAGAGATACACATGTCATGTAAAACCTCTGTTCTGCCCAATGTTTAACCATGTTATATACTACCAAAAATGGTGCGTTACATACGACAAATATTTCTTGCTTATACTTTACCTACCTATACTGTAACCCTGTCACATGTTACCAACGTGAATTTCAATGCACCTCAAAAATAAAGAATTAAAAAAAAAAAATCCCAAGCCATCCCAAAATCCCTCCCCTTGCTTGTTCAGATAGCGTGCATTCTTTCTGAGCTAGAAAAATGGTCCAATTACAGGCTCCAGATGGAGGAGGAAGATCAGCGCAACTTCATCTGGTGCTTGATTCAAGCTGAGTAAAAACAATGTATTTATTTTTCATGGGGAGGGGACCAAATAGTAATTCACAGTAGGGCATTGCAAGCCCAAAGAGGCCAACTATGCAAAAGAGTAACCCTTTAAGAAATGCAAGTTATGAGTAACCAGGGAAGTCAAGGTAAGATCTAGAAGACCAAGAAATATCTCCAGTAGAGCTGCTCATAAATCAGGAGTAAAATAATACTTTTATAAATGTTTTGCAGAATGCTGCACCATAAGCCTGCCTCCTGTCAGAAAGACTTGATTATTAAAAACATGCACACAGTCTCCTCCCCAACAGCACTGAGTGCGCTGCTTTTAATTCACAATCTGGCTGCAAACAGCCAGACAAACTATAAGCAGCTAGTTACTATATGTCTCCTTTGGTGCCCTCTAATTCAGACTTCTTTATAGGATAGATCACTCAGCGCTGTCAGTGGCTGAGCTGTGTGCATATCTTTGATAAGGAAGTATTTTTCTGGTGTGAGGTAAAGAGGCAGGGTCATTGTGCAGTGTTCTTCAAGACAGTGATTTATCTTATGCAAAAAACTATAAAGATTTGAAAAAAAAAGTATATTAAGGAGGCCAAAGTCTATCATTAAAGTACTATTGGTGTCTGGAGTGTCCCTTTAAATTTGGAATGAAGGAAAGTTTGTTTAGGTTTTGGGAGGGGTTGCATTTAGGGTCAGGAGAAAAAGGTTGTTTCAGGTACAGGCATGTGGCGTTAGAAGATTTGCAGAGTACTCACCCTCCTATGATAGTAAAACTTCAGGAGCTGTTATTCACTGTGAACCACTCAGTGTTGTCCTGCGATATATGGTGTGTATCACTCAATGTTGTCCATACGTGTGTGAGTGGCTTTTGAAGGGCAAATGGGATGTGATCAGGAAGCAGAAAAAAAAGGTGGCGCCACACAACAATAAAAAAAAAATAAAAATAAAAAATAGTGTGTATATATATATATATATATATATATATATATATATATATATATATATATATATATATATATATATATATATATCTATATCTATATCTATATCTATCTATCTCAAAAAGAGTCCAGTAAAACCTTGGGAAGAGAGAACAATCACAGTTCTATCTGCGGTAGAGACGTCTATGGAGTATTGGGATCAATGGGTTTGTGGGACCGTATGAAAAAAGAAAATCTAATAGTGCAATAAAACCCAAATAGGTAGCAGCCAATTAAAAAAGGCTATATGGTCCTACTCGTGTTTTTGAGAGCTAAAAACTAGCTTCAGTATAAACAGCGTACAGTGGTATAATCCCCACTTACGGGATACGTGAGGGAGTGTTGCAAGTAGATATCTCCTCAGATGGGGACCATGTATAACAAAAAAACAATAGTGCTCACTGTGATAAAACCAGGAGAGTGTATAAAAATAGCAAATGGTTACTCACATTTAATTTTGCAGATGTACTGATCAATGATAGGGCATAAGTTGGATATCCCCACCAAGGATGCTTTGGAGTAGTATCTCTCCAGAACAAGTAAAACTCAGATGCCAGGTAGTAAAATAATAAAAAAGGTAAAGATACAGCTAGAGTTGTAGGAAATGGCTTCGGTTTTGAATGGTTCTTATTGCTAAACGGAACAAGACAAGGGTGTCCCTTGTCTCCGTTACTCTATATCATGGCATTAGAACCTTTGGCTTTAGCCATAAGACAAGAGAGGATAGCAGGTTTTGATTTTAATAAAGAAAATATAAAAATAAATGTATACGCTGATGACGTCATCTTAACAATACAAAAACCTCCACAATCTATAATACAACTCATGGAAACCATTGGGAGATTTTCCCAGGTTTCTGGATATAAAACAAATATAGAAAAATCAACTATCTTAGCTGTAAATGTAAATAAAGAAGAAAAAAAAATAAGATTATGAAGAAATTTGACTTCGCATGGGTCGAAAAATCATTTAAGAATTAATATTTGTGCTGACCCACTGAAAATAGCGATCAATTTTCTCCAATTGCTTATTAAAATGAATAAACTCCTAAAGGGTTGGAAGAATCTAGAATTCTCGTGGTGGGGCCATATTAATATTATTAAGTCTTACATCTTACCAAAATGGCTGTATCTGTTTAGAATGATCCCCTGAGTGTCCCTGATAGTTGGCTGCTATTAATACAACAGGCCTGGTCTAAGTTCATATGGCAAGCGAAAAAAACAAGAATGGCAAGAAAACTCCTCTCGATCAATCAATCTAAGGGAGGGATAGGATTCCCACTCATACAACTATACTATAAAGCGAGTATCCTTTTCCATAGTATCATCTCACAATTGGCTGGGGCTAAACTAGAAAGGTGGTATGTGGTGGAAAAGGAACTTGCAGATGGTAGGGATCTAGTAACACTTTTCTGGTTTACTCAAAAAGGAGAAACAAATAAGAGCCAACCAAGTTCTGATATTGTGGTAATTGAGTCCATTAGAGGAATGTGGAGTAAGATAAAAAAAAAAAAAAAAATTAAAAAAAAGTGCAGGATTTAAAAATCACATTATTAATACCCTGCCAATCTCAATACTGGAAAATAATATGCAAGACCTAAGACTAAATAATTGGAGAAGAGCAGACATACAAACTATAGAAGATATAACAGGACCCAGGGTTAATTTGTTTGAACAAATAATTATTAATTCCGGTCTCCCGGAAACGGAGAAATTTAACTATGAGGATTAAAAGCTATCTGAATAAAACTCTAAAGAGAAATGGGAATTTAATAATAAATTATGAAACTTATTGAAAGGAAAGGACATGAAAAAAAATTATTAAATAAATGTAACTCGGTATTGAGACAACTACAGGGTGACTTGACGTTTCCGGCGATTAAAAAAAGAAAATGGGAGAAAGATCTAAAAATACAAAAAAATTGATGGACAGGACTGGAATAGAGCATGACTGACAGTTGCTAGAGGCATTAAATGCCTACATTTAGTGGAGATACATTTAAAAATCATTAACAGACTCTATTTGGTTCCTAGCTGTCTAAACAAAATAGACCCAAGTAAAATAGATATATGTTGGAGATTTGAAGGGGAAGTGGGAGATTGTGTACATATTTGGTGGAGCTGCCCCCCACTTAAGGAATTTTGGAAAGTGTTCTTGTCCAAAATTGAAATGGTAACCGGATTTAACTTTCCCCTTGCCCCGGAAATGCTTATATTACATTTAAATATTTATCAGTATAATGTAGATTTGCAACACTTTCACCCACGCATTAATAGCAGCAAAGATTTCCATAGCTAGAAGGTGGAGAACTAAAACTCTACCGAATTGGGACATAGTAAAAAATCTACTATTTTCACAATTTAGGATGGAGAGAGGTTTGAATAGAAACCTGAAGAAGAAAAATGTATTTCACATAAATAAGTGATTTTAAAAAAAAAAATTGTCGGCAGTAGATTACTATACATAGAAGAGGAAGGGAAGAAAAAAAGAAAGAGAAAAGAGAAAAAAGGGAGAAAAGGGGAAAAAGAAAAAAAGGGGAAGGGGTGAAGAGAAAAAAAAATGCTAGCTCATATATTAGTACTATGAATGGCAATGCAAAGAGAGTAGGGAAGAGGGTTTCATCATCGTGTGTGAATGCTGTGTATGTCTGCTTTATGTTTTTTGTTTTTTTTCTTTGTTAATGAGTAATATTAATGTTTTTATAAATTTAAGTCATATAAACAGGAAAAAGAGGGGAGAGTAAACATTGATGATGACTAATATACCAATGCGTGAGATGCAGAAAGCTTGAAAGAATATAAGAGACTGGTAACATCTGAAATGAAAGGAAAAACAGAAAAGAAATAATAAATAAATGTAAAGATAAAATGGTTAGCTCTCAAAGAAAGTGGCCAAAATACAGTTAGTTAAAATTTCCACAATGCATTTCTCCCCTTAGGGCTTTCTCAA